TTTTTTTTTTTTTTTTTCTAGTATCTTTTAAGTAATATAATGTCCCTGCGTTATTTTTTTTTTTCTTAAGTGTTTTGATAGAAAAATAAAAATTCATAGTAGAAAAAATTATCCGGCGAAAATGAAATGAAAGGTACCATAAAAAAAGACAAATATTCGTTGTAAAATAATCATAAATTGCAATATAGATGTCGTCAATTATCACCGAGCATAATAGATTGAATAACGGATGTAAAAATAAATGAGTACGAAAAAAGATATTTTTTAAGGTGATAAGAAGAAAAAAATGATATTGTTTGTTGATGGAGAGAAATAAGAAGAAAAAATGATATTGTTTGTTAATGGAGAGAAATATAGAAAAGACAGTAATTATAAAGAAATATTAATAAAAAAAAAAAGTATATTAATATCAATTTTTTTTTTTTTTTTTTGCAAAAAGTCTATAGATAATTAAAGAGAAGGAGGAAAAAACAATAATAATATACAAAAAGGTTCAAAATGTAGGTGTGAATCTATCTTATCCCATTCAACCCAAAATCCAAAACCCATTTTTGACCTTTTTTTTTCATTTCTACCAACATTATTATTATTATTATTTTCCACGAACTTCCAATTTTTACTATTTCACCTTCATCTTTTAAAAATTAAAAACCATACTAGAACACCAATTTACGATTTCTCGAACATTATGTGCAATGTGTACAGCTTTGACAATAATTCCCTGATCACTTGATTCTTGTTTTAATGATTGCTCTGAATCACCTTGTGAACGTGGTATTATTCCCGAGCCTGAATGATTTAATTGAGTTGCCGGTATTGGTGGTATTATGTATGATGGAGTAGTGTCAAAATCAAACATTCCCATATCTATATCATCCACATCTAAATCATCGTCATCATCTAACATCCAAGACGAAGTCGATGTGGATGAAGTACTATATGTTGATTTGGATGAGGAAGTAGTTGAATGACGTTTACTACTCGAATATACACTATAATTAATGGTATCAGATTTTAATTTTGTGGGTGCAAGTTTGCAAATTGTCGAACAATCTTTCTTTTTCTTTTTTTTTAAAGAGATTTTCATCTCTAAGCCATCATCACTACTACTATCATTATTTGAATCATAATGATCATCGTCTTCATCTGCAGATTCAACAGCGATACATTGTTCAACTTGGTCATTGAAACGAATATGTTGTTGATGCCCAGAAGGGTCTTCAGTAACAGTAGGTAACATTGATGATCTCGTAGGACCACTTATTGGAGTAGATGGACCAGATATTGAAGAACAAGTTGAAGAAGTATCACAATCGCTAACATCACTATCGTAATCTCTTTTGTCACAATGGTTTTTATATAATTGTGTATCTGAGTTACTAACGACCAGATGGACTCTACCCCTTGGTCGTAGAGTTTCAGAAATAGATTTCTTTTTCAAGCATGACTTGTGACGTGTTGAGGGCATTAAATTGAATTCAGTCACTTGGGACTTTTCACGATTTTTTTCATATTCGGAATGCCATGCGGTATGTAATGGGCCGTATAACCAAGTTACATCGCTGTCTTTAAGCCTATTAAACATAAACAGAGGTAATATTAGTATAAAAAAAAAATAAATAAAATAAAAATAAAAATAAATAAAAATATATGAATATATAATAAAATATATTCATGAAATAAAGAATAAAATACATACCAGTTAAGTTTTTCTGGGTTGACAGTTTTGAGATTGTATTTTTGTTTTGCCCAAGTTCTCCATGAAGCATTTTCTAGACGGATTCCGTTAGAGATTCCATTCTTCTGCTTTGACATAACTCTCCAAGAAGTCCAAATATCATCCTCTTTGTTCCACTCATGGGAAAGGTAATCGACACAAATTTCGGGAGGACGTTGAACGATATCGTTTAGGTTATCGTCAGGAGTCATTATTATAACGTTAAGTGTTTTCCAAGGAATATCAATAAAGGTATGTAGAATAAAGAGGAGAGAGAGAGAAAGCAGACCGTCTAAATATCGAGAAAGTAACCGA